ATATGGTCCGCCCTCAGATGCACCATCTGAGCAGCGGATTTCCTGGATTTGATCCTCCAAGTCATCATCCTATGTTGCAACAGATGCATCTGCCACCAAGTTTTCCTCCGCCACATCAATTACAGGGATTTCCTGGTGGACCACAGGTGAATCATCTGAACAACCAGGTCTCTGGACTTATTCAGGAACTTAACCCGCTTCAAGGTTTTCCTTTCGGTCAGCGGCAGCCAAATAGTGGACTACCACCGCCTGGTAAAGAAATAATCCCTTCTGTGATTTCATTTAATGCTCTTGCTGTGCCAAATTTAGTTTTATGGCATTTTATCCGGGACTTGTCAGGGTTTAAATAAGTTTTGGCAAAGCAGCTCGCTAATAACATAAATGCTTGATGTCTAAATGTGTCCTTTGGGCATTAATATAGGGTCATGTTAATGGGTGACCCTTTTTCATATGGAATACCTTGTTTTCCGAAGCATGGATAATAAATAAATAATGTGAGGATAGTTAGTGTACTGAAAATTGCAAAATTTCCTTTGTTTATTGCTTAATAAGTACACCGGACCCCATAATTATTTTGGAATCAGGTGCCCCACTCGCTGAGCGTTATTATTATACCACACTTTGCTTACAGTATTTGACTCTATAATCAACTATATTCGAATCCTGACACTTTAGATGTTGGTCCTTGTTCCTTTTGGCCAAGTTGATGCAAGTCTTGTTAAGTGTCGCGACTGTTGTGATTTAGATAAGTTAGTCTTGTTTTCTTTTATTTTGTAGACCTATCATTCAGATCAATAATCATCAGCTTTAGAATCCCTTTTTTTTTATATTTATAAGCTGCCACGAAGGCATTTTTTTTCCGTTGAAGTTAATGTTGGATCCAAAGTAAGGTCTTGCCGGTGTGTTGATGTTTGTTTCACTGACACCTCCTTTTGTTTTGAATTGTGCAGCTCCTGAAGCCGGCATTGGAAACAACCATCCAGAAGCATTTCAAAGGCTTCTTGATCTGGAGCGGCGGGCAAATGCAAAGCAGATGAACCCCTTTGCCGCCGCCGCTGCTGGCCATAGCCAGGGAATGTACGGCGGCCGTGATATAGATATGGGTTTTCGGTACAGATGAAGGTTTCGAGCGGCGATGTAGTGTGCATGCCAGTGTACTCAGCTGTCTCTCTCTCTCTCTCTCTCTCTCTCTAGCGTGAAGGACGGGTTTGATATGCATATTATAAAATGGACAGATTTCATACCCGGTTTGCCTTTCGGATTTCAGTTTTAAATAACGAAAACGGAAAAGAGCAAACGAACTGAAAAAAAAGGGGTTAGTTTTTGGTCTTGGAACCAAATCCATTAGGCTAAAACCTCTACCCTCGCTGCTGTCAAATGCTAAGTAAGACATTCCAAAGGCTGGGCAAAAGGGCATGACCACTGGGTCGCCTAACTTGTCGGCTTATGTGAAGAAAGGGATATGTTCATTATAAGTCTTAAAACTTGTCATTAAAGTGTAATTGAGTCTTAAAATTTGCAAAATGTGTAATCGAGTTTTAAAACTTGTCAAATTGGTTCAATCGAGTCCTAAAGTGAATACTGTTCAATTTGACTAACGGAAAATATAATAAAAAATTTAAAAAAAGGGGAGGAGGAGGAAAGGTCGGGAGGGAGGGCTTGCCCTCCCCGCTGTTGCTGCCCCACCATCGTCGAGAGGGGCCAGTGAGGGTGGGGGTCGCCGAGCCTTGGCCAGGGGCCGGCGACCCTTGTCGACGGTAGGTCTTCCCCCAGATCGGGCAAGGGTCGTCGGTCCTCGCCCAGATTTGGCTGAGGATCGCAGGAGAGATAAAATATTAAAATAAGTCATGTTAGCGCCACGTAAACATTTTCCGTTAGTAAGTTTGACGGTATTAACTTTATGACTCATTTGAACTAATTATATAAGTTTTAGGACTTGATTATACTTTTTGCAAGTTTTTATGTGTCAATTGTACTTGGGAAAATTTCAAATCAGTATCCAAAGTGAGGCCAAATTCTCAAAAAATGGTCCAAAGTGGACATAGTGTCAAATAAGGGCTTAAAGTGCCCAATCAGTCTCAAATAGGGGCCCGAAGTGCCCAATTAGTCTCAAACAAGGGTCTGGGTTTGCCGGCCGGTCAAATGCTCACCGGTCGGCGAGCACGTTACTGTTCCGGTGACCGGAAGAAGGATAGTTTCGTCTTTTTCTTTTTTTCTTTTTTTTGTTTTTTTATTTTCCTTTTCCTTTTCTGTTTTTTTTCTCTTTTCCCTCCCTCCGCTGGCCATAGCCGGGGCCGGCGGAGATTGCTGGCCTCAGGTGGAGGTCGCCCTCGCCTGACGCCGGCGAGGGTTGCTCTCGCTGGATCTGGCGAGGGTTGCTCTCGCTGGATCTGGCGAGGTCGCCCTCGCCCGCCCCCGGCAAGGGCAGCCTTCGCTCGACGCCGGCGAGGGCAGCCTCCGCCTGAGGCCGGCAACCTCCGCTGGCCTCGGCTATGGCCGGCGGAGGGAGGGAAAAGAGAAAAAAAAAACAGAAAAGGAAAAGGAAAAGGAAAAGGAAAAGAAAAAAACAGAAAAAGGAAAAAAAGAAAAAGACGAAACTATCCTTCTTCCGGTCGCCGGAACAGTAACGTGCTAGCCGGCCGGTGAGCATTTGACCGGCCGGCGAACCCAGACCCTATTTTGAGACTCATTGGGCACTTCAGGCCTCTATTTGAGACCGATTGAGCACTTCAGGCCCTTATTTGACACTATGTCCACTTTGGACCATTTTTTGAGAATTTGACCCCACTTTGGGTACTGATTTGGAATTTTTCTATTGTATTTTGGTGATAAGTTTTAGGACTTCTAGTAAATATATCCCGTGAAGAAATGACGAGGAGTTCAATCATGCTAGGCTGGGCCCCCTATGGATCAAGTCGTACGTAATCAGGTCTGGCTTTATTTATTGTGATCACATACGTCTTGCCCGTTGCCTAACTCAGAATATTAGAGTCACTGTCGCTGGGCGGAGCTATTCGTAGCATTATTCTTTGCGTGACGCGGCAATGCTAAGATCTGTGCGTCGGATTGCATAATGCGGTAGAATTATTTTTTGTATCCGATCGGTCAAAACACAATGAGATCCGCACGTCGCTACCTAAGACAGGGACAATAATTAAAGCCTACGCGTAATAATTCAATCTCTGAAAGGAGGAGTACCGCACGACATGAGGAGATGATATGTGGTATCTCTTCTACATCGACTTGCACGCAGGATCACTTTAATTCGCTAACTCTGCATTAGAGATAGGCGTCACAAGAAGAGAAGGATTAATGTTCACCGGGGTTGCTGACAACAAAAGAAGATTGAAATTCCATCGATGAAAACGAGACACTAATGTAAAAAATACAGATAATAATATAAAATAAGATAATACGCAAGGAGCCTTTCTAGTGGGTACGGCGGCGGCGGCGGCGGCGGCTTCTTGTTTCTGACTCTTGACTTCCTTATCCGGAGGACCCAAATTCGACTTCTTACTCCTCCGAATTTAGGCAAAAAGAGACGCATGAAAGCTCAAATGGCGTCCACGTTCGAAGTATTTCGGCCATGGCTGCGTCAGATTGGCTCGAAGGGTTAGGCACGTTTGAGAGATTTTGACTGCTGGTGCTGGGGACCATTTTGCTGAGGTCCGACTCGCCGGCGGGCCCAACCGGGGCCGTGGAGCCACGCTCCGTGAGCCGGCGGTGTCCGGGGAAATGATCGTCTGAGAAAGAAGCCATCTGCAAAGTTTTGCTACCCACCAAAACCAAAAAGGGCAGATGAGTTTTAGTGCCCAACAAATCATGTCGCTACCAGACCCATTTTTTCAACGAAAAGCTCCATAGCTACCAGATTGATTGCTTGCCCTAACAGGGCCTAAAAAAGTACAAGAAGATGAGAAGAAAGTTCAGTCTGATTGAGGCCAAGCCGAGGGCGGTGAAGGAAAGCAAGAGTGGTGGCCCTAAATCAGAATTTTTTCTTTCTTTTTCCTTCCTTTCATACAAAAAAAAAAAATAGGAAAGAAAGGGAAAAAGAGGATAACCCACATTTGGAATGACTCTAGAGTTCTGGTCTGCACGTTTTCCTTTGCGCTTGTCACTCTGCTCATGAACCTATTACTATCACTGGTAGCATGTATATACACAACCTGAAGCATGTGGTGATGATTCCATGTTGCCTGAATCATGATGAGTAAAGATACAAAATTTCAGTGAATTTTTGACCCATGTTTCGAGATTCTTCTGTGTCCATGCAGCTGATAATGCTGGTGGCATGTGTGAGACTGGTCCTTTGAGGAGGTGAGTATATCACAAGTGGCTGGTGGGACCTTCAAAGGGCCACCTTCGTGGAGGCAGTATGTTATCAGACGATGTATATACGTGGCAGTGATATCTAGCGTAATCGATTAATCTAAGGTGAGTTGCACGTCTATTTGGCATTTAGTAAGATGAGAATCATAACACACGGACAACAATGGTGATTGGTCAGTTATACCACGTCATTGCCGTCATGTGGCGTATCCGTCACATGAAATACTTTCTCATTTAAGCTCGGGCGCAGTTGTTCATTTTGGTGAGGAATGACCGTATGTAATGGAAAAAATATTAAGGCGGTGGAAACTCATGAGCCTCGTATCTCATTTTCAGGGACAATAACAGAACAGAAAGGAAAGGACTGAATTCAAGAACCGTCTTGGGATACAGATGGAGGAAAAACAAAGCGATTAAAAAAGGTTAATATGGTTGGCGGATTAAAAATCCCCTTTTTAACATGTGGAGGAATGTAAGGCATACCAATCAACCCCGAGTGGATCTGAAAGTAGGATACAGGAAAAGGATGGCTCTGTTTCACAGTGCCTTTCAAAATTAAGATTTGATGGACTCCTTCACTTCCCACCCTAATAATACTCACTTCAAACATACGTACGTGCACTCTCTTCTTCTTCTCTCTCTCTCTCTCAACCTTCCTTCTTTTTCTCTCTCCTACTCTGCATTTCTTGTTTTGATCCGGATTTTTGTGGTCACAGCCAGCCATTGAACCCCCCCTCTGTCGATACCTCTCCATTCCTTTTCAACTCCTCCATTATTCCATTACGTCTTCTCTTTACTTTCCACTCAAAACACCCATTTGTTTCTCCCTCTCTCCCTCTCTCTCTCTCTTCTTGTTGTTGTTGGCATTCCACTCCTCTGACTCACTACCAACTTTCTCTCTTCATCTCCAGTCTTGATCTCCGCATACCTTGATAAGGAGGGCATTACAATGAAGGTCTCGTCGTCTCTTCAGAATCTCGAATGTTAAACCTTTTAGTACTTCATTGTTCTTCCTGTTCTTTTTCAGCCGAGGAACCATTTCAAGATTCCTTTTTTTTATTCGGTTGTTCTTGAGTCTGCATGGAACTTTTGTTGGGTTTGCTTTTTGTTTCATCTTCTTTTGAAGGGTTCTGATCCAGGATCTGATATGTGCTCTGTCTTAAATAATATAGTTGCTGATGAAAGGATCCATATTCTTAAAATTCCTAGGAATGTTCTTATTGATTGGTCCTGAGTTATCAGAGAGTTCTTTCTCTGCTGAACGAGTTATGAAAGGGTTCTTTTCAAAAGGTTGATGGCTGTCCAAATTAGAAGCCTTTCTTCTCTTTGATGTTGTGTAATTCGTTAACTGATCAGATATCTGTTTGAGCTATATTATTCTTAATCTGACATTGTTTTACTGAGCTGATCTTCTTTTGGGTTTATTTTTCGTTTGTCATTTAAAACAAGTTGAGAAGGAGAGCTGATTGATGCTGATATGGATCTACTGAAATTATATATGCAGAAGCTCGTAGTGAAGTTGGATCTACAAGATGACAAAGCCAAGCAAAAGGCCATGAAGACAGTCTCTACTCTTCAGGGTTCTTTATCCCCTCTCAAGCTTCCTCTTCTTTAAACTATTTGGTTTGCCTGTTCTCCTCCCTTTAATTTAGACTTTTGTCTTATGAAATGAGCTGGAAAAAGAAAAGTGTGACTTTTGTGAGTTTGCTCGCGTGCTTTCTTCTTTTGATTTTTTTGGAGTTTCTGAGTGAAATAAACTCAAGCATTTTTTTTTTCAATAAATAGAGGTGTGATTTAATTTCAAGCATAAAAAATGGGATCCACATATCTTCACTAGGACCAATTGAGTGGCTCACCAAACCAAATACAGCTTATTTTCAGGGGACTTGGAGCACTTCACGTTGATAATGTCAATCAGAAGCGATTGCTCCTCAATTTTTTCCTTGATTTGTCCAGTCATATTTGTTGGTTTTCTCATGCTACAGTGGATGGTGAACTTAAAAAAGAACCGATAGTTTTCCCTTCTGAAATCTACGGGTACCATCTGTTTAGGCGAGAAACGAAACTGTGATGGAACAATTCATTCACATGAATCTAATCTTCTAGGGATCGACTCCATCTCCATGGACATGAAGGAGAAGAAACTAACAGTGATCGGAACAGTCGACCCAGTGAATGTGGTGAGCAAGTTGCGCAAGTACTGGCAAACGGACATAATCACAGTGGGGCCAGCAAAAGAGCCTGAGAAGAAAGAGGAAGCAAAACCGGAAGAGGCCAAGAAAGAGGAAGCAAAACCGGAAGAGGCCAAGAAAGAAGAAGCGAAACCGGAGGAGGCGAAGAAGGAAGAAGCCAAGAAAGATGAGCCCAAAAAAGAAGAACCCAAGAAAGAGGAAGAGCCGAAGAAGCCTCCGGTGCCTCAGCCTGACCCTGTCCTTGAGCTTGTTAGGGCATACAGGGCGTACAATCCTCAGATGACCACCTATTACTATGTCCAGAGCATGGAGGAGAATCCAAATGCTTGTGTCATCTGTTGATAAATAAAATAAAGAGGAGTTTTTGAGTGGGGGGTTGCTTCAGGTTCTAGCAGGTGATGATGGGAACTGAGTATCATCGGTGTATAGAGAGGCAAACACCCTCGTCTGAGCATGGGTCCGAGGATCGCTGTAGTGTATATAAAGATTGCCTCATTTTTACTTGAGCCTATTCAATGATATGCAGGGAGAATAAATAAAAAATTTTGTGGCCCCATCAGGTATGTAACTCTGGACTCTAGAGTAGTTTTGTTTGATGTATCTTATGGTTGTTATTACTTGGGCACTTACGTGCTAGAGCTAGCTGATCATGTTACATAAATCTGTTAGGGGAATTACACTCAAGTCTAAGATGGTAAAATTTTTGATTTTTTTTAACAGTGTCGACATATCGCAATGTTTTTGTGCTTTCAAACGTATCATTGCCTAGATCGCACTGCTTTTTCAGTATCTAATATGGCAATCCTATGAATACAAGAGTATTTTCATGTAACTTTTTACATTTGTTTCTTTCATCTAACATAAGAGTGTTTGTTGGATGTTGACTAATGCACCTGAAAGAGAGAAAATAAGGCAATGTCTCAACTACCATCTTCACAATGCGATGTCTCAACTACATTGGCAGCATATAGACTCGGCCAGTGTTAAGTAGATTTAAACCATTTTGAATTGAAAATTCCAGACCAAGGCATGACGACGACGACGACTAGCCACAATTCCATTGTCAAACAAGATTGGTATGGCCCATGTTTCTAATGCCGCGTAATCCCAATCTCACATTCTTGTTAACAGTTCATTTCTAGCGTCCCAATGATTTGTGGTTTGCCTCTTTGAAAAGCCGGTTTGTCCTCGATCCATCATAGCTTCTTGTATTGAGAATCCCTGGTGGGTCAGTGTTTCATTAAATGTCTTTATCTTTTCAGAATCTCACCGCCCTTTACCTGTTGCTGATGTGGAGCGACTAATACGGGCATGGTGGGATTTGACGGCGTCATGTTGAATGGACAAAAAGCAAGGCAACTTCTTTAGGGGCCATGCACGAAACTGAAATGGTCGGTCCAAAAAATAGGACAAAAAAACCATCTGGTTTTAATGAGCAGAACAGCGATAACAACATGCCATTTCCTCAGCCAGACACTTCTTTTCGTATAGAAAACTAGGCTCCTCGATAAAAATTAGAAAAATTGCAGCAACTTATTCCTGTTTCTGTACAAATATAACGTGCCATGTGTGGGCTATAGCATGTGACTGAACATGACTCTGCTGATTCATTGATGCTACTTTTTTTGGTCCTGAGTGCCACCACATGGTACGACGTTCATGTAATAGCTCGTCATTGAACACATGACCCCCAACAACTGCAAAAACATATGGTGCTTTTGTCTTTAATCAAACAATCAAGGTTAAAGTAACATATTATATTACAGCATTCTCATTCCTCTTCTCGATTCCTCTTGTCACCATGCCGACATTTCTTAATTTGTTCAAACCGTACTTGTCAGGCGTGAGATGCTGATCTGTAAAGGCGAATTACAGCAACTAAATTGCCTTCTTCTTCTTCTTCTTATTTTCTCGGCAAAGCCCTGTCAATGTTGATGGCTACGTCTGTTCTGAATTTGACATCAGCATTTTCCTGCAATGGGGTTCGCTTTGATCGATCTCACGGTGAAAAGAATAGGCAAGAACCCAACAAAACAGTTGACGAGATCTCTCCACTCAACCAAAATGTCTCTTCTTCGTGTTTGCACGCTATTGACTATTTTGTGCTGGCTTTAAGCAAAAGTTGCAGCTAAATGTTTTGGATATTCACTATCCACGTCATTGCACGATCACTATATGCAGCCGATTGGTTCCAAATCGGATATCAATTTTAAGCGTGTATTGACTGTGGTCGTGAGCTATTTTAGCCTATTTGTTAGGCATTTTTATAGATTTCTTCCTAGTATAGAATCCTTCCTATTGTATATCTCCTAATTAGGGTTGTCATATGTCCTATATATATAACAGGATTGAGCATTGTAAATGTACAGAAAAAATATTCATTGAATACAAAAAGGAGAGTCTTTTTCTACATTGACAATACTAATTCATGCTTCTATCCATTCTAACGATACACTATCCTTAAGATGCTTTCTAGGGTCTACATAGTTTTCCTCCAGCTGTTGAAGTCCAGTAGATCTTGTCTGGTTGATGCCTTAAATGTAGATCACACTTATAAGAAAATTTTCTCATTGCTATCAAGTGACTCATCTTGGTGACTTTATTTCACGTTTGATTTATACGATTCAGATCATGTCGGGTCAAGAGGCAAGCTAGGCCTGGCTTTGCCGGGCCCAATAGGCCGAACCCTTTCTTGGGTCCAAAAACCATCGTCTAAGTCCGGCAATGATTTCAAGAAATCGTTAGCATTACTTTAAACACTTAAAAGAATGAGAGATCCAAGTGGACCAACCGTGCCAAAAAATAGAATTGCTTGTCTAGGGCCAACCCACTTAAAAAAAAATTGAGGGATAATTGCTCAAAAACCTCTTGAACTTTGGTATCGTTGCACAATTATCCCCGAACTTTGAAAAGCAACAGATTACTCCCTCAACTTTGGAGCCGTTGTATGTTAACTTTTGAACACTTTTTTTTTTTGGCCGGAAACTTCTGAAGTTTGAAAAGGTACATGTTACCCTCTTGCCTATAAAACCGTAAAGCATTACTTAAAATGGTTATTCATTTTTTTCACCCGAAAATAACCTACATCACATGACTAATGACATCAAGAAATAGAGAGGATGCATTGTTGATGAAGTTAAGAAAATATAGTAGAGGTCATTTTGGTTAGGAAAACTAAGTTAATCCATTTTCAGGTAAAACTTAACGACTATACGGATGAAAATACTGCAACAAAACTCAAAATTTATGGGTGTAATTCGTTCAAAGTTCGGAGGCTATGATGCAACGGTGCCAAAGTTGGGAGGGTAATTTGTAACTTTTCAAAACTAGGGAGCAATTGTGCAACAATGTCAACATTCAGGGTTAGTAGGGCCCCCACCCGGACCCACCAATTGGGCCAATCCGGCCCGTGATGACTCAGCCCCAATTGACCGGTCAACTCCCTCCGTTTGACCTTGGGATGAAATGAGCCTTATGCCAAATTAGGGCTTTAGCTCTAAAACTTCCCCAATGAGCATTAATCTGGAGACTCTAATTGCAAACTAATTGCACTTTATCCACATAAGGCTCAATCATATGCTCAGGAGACAATTGCACCGGAGTTCGCTGAGGTGTGGGGTGTGCCACGTAGGACGGCCGGCGATGACTGGACCGCCATGTCAGCGATTTCCGGGTGAGAATTGATCGGAGTGACTGCATTATATCTTCGCGTGAAGGTTTAGGATTAAACTGGCAAAATTGAAAGGTTTAAGACTGAATCGATATATCCGTATAATAGATTTGGGACTGATTGGGTAATTTTCCCTTTTCCTTTGTGCGCTTCCCATTTTGGATCGCGTCAAGGCCTGCGCGTGGCGCCAGTTCCTCATCATTCATCGTGCACAGAAACGAGCTGACCCTTCTACATGAAAGGGCGAGAAGAGAACGATCATCGTGCACAGAAACAGCCCCGCACGGCAAGGAAGAACACTAGGCAGGAACGGAGATGTTGTTCGTCAGGTCTTAGCATGTTTACGTGCGTGACGCAATCGAACGTGAATTGCCCCTTCCGTGCTCCCCAAGGGCGACCACCTGCGGTGCCCACTTGCTTTGCCCGTCCGACCACGGTGACTCAAAATCAAAGCCCGCCGTCTCTTTCACATTCCGAAAAGGCAAGTTTGGTGTCCATGCTTTGCTCTCGGTCTGAAAAAGGTAAAGATTACACGTCGTTCGTTTGGCGAAACATTAGGCACCCTTTTGTCGAAGTGTGGATTTGATCCGATCTCCTTATTTCGACAAGAGTGCCATAATCGATTGAATACATGACGGGGACAGATCGACATGGTTGGTCTGATGTATATCATGGGGGATTGTCCTTTTCAATCGAAGTAAACTTGCGATTGGCTTGGTGTAGGTACTAAGACATTCTAGCGACGCTTCAAACGTTTGCGATTGTTAGCGATTGAATAAGCTCAATCGCTTCCGCTCTGGCTGACTCGGCGTCGAGTGTACGTACATGAGTGGGGGGTGACAGGAAGGAATTTCACATTTGATGTCCGGAGATGAAAGAAGCAATCGATGATACCTAATTTTGCTCATAAAATGACTTAGACTTTTGAGTGAAAATAGATCAAACTTATTGGCTCCTTCCGGGATCTACTTCCTCTAACACTCATGTTCTAAGAATCTAAGCCGCTGCCGACTTCATGCGGGACATTAATTCTGTTATAATATTAACTAATGTGTAAGTTAACCCGGATCTTGCAAATTAAGTCAATTGCGAAATTACCAAAGAAATAACCAGGAGCATAAAGGACAACTAAGATTTACGTGGTTCGTTCCGATGTATCGGTACCTACATCCACGAGGAGAGCCACCAGCAAATAATTCACTAATAATCGGAGAATCCAAATTACAATCGCTCACTCACACGCTCGAGTGTTTTTCGCAACTAGATTAAACCCAAATCCCAAGTGTTTACAAATAAACAACTTGAATGGATATAAAAGACTCACGGCATAAATTCACATATTCGAACGTGGCTTCGTTCTTCGTGTGCCGGCCACTCGAGGAGAGTTACTGTACTCTTATTTTGAAACCCACGTTCTGCTCCAAGGGAAGAGCTACTGTGCGGTCACTATTCCCTCAACCTCACTTGCGGCTAGACTTGATGAGCAGAGGGAAGAAGACCCACAACTTTCTTTTCTCTGTTTTGTGCGGCTCCCCTCCTGATAGAAGGACCTAGGGCTAGTCTAGGGCTCAAAACAAAGAAGACCATATATCTTTTCTGTTTTCTATTTTTTTTTTCTAATTTCCCTTGGGCCCCACTTGTCTTTCTTTTGCAAGCCCATGAGTATAAGGTAAAGTCCACTTAGGGCCCGTTTGGTAACGTGCCAAATAGTAAAAAATTCTGTTCTTTTGTTCTCAGAAATAGTTTGGGAACAGAAATGCGTTTGGTAAATTTTTTATTCCCCGGCACATTTTTACAAAAATTTATGTCCAGAAACAATTTTGGAGGAGAAACAAGAAACAAAAAAAACTAGCTTCTTGTTTCTCGGCACAGAAATAAGAAACAATTTTGGAAGCGCTGAGCTTCCAAAATAAGAAACAATTTTGGAATCACTTTTTACTCCTCTCCTGCTCAAAGCTCGTTCTACTGTGCTCCTTCACCACTGCTGCTCCTTCACCCACGAGGCTGCTCCTTCACCGACACCGACGAGGCTGCTCCTTCTCGTTCG